GGCTCGTGCGGTAGACCCGCTAGAAATCCCGCTGAAGCGGTACTAAGAATATTTATTGAAAGCTCTATCGTGGTTCTTTTTTAGATGAATCATGAGGCGAAATCTCCAATCTAGCCAATAAAAAATGATGTATGTGAGATGGTAGCTTTATTACTTTGCTTTGAAATCTACACTTATGTGATTTTGTTTTTAATTGAAGATTGTTCATTTTGATTTAAAAATCTCTAGTTATTTAGTCAAAACTTTTTAGCTTTTAGTTGTAAGCACAAGTTTATAGAGTTCTAATTCTTTGCTGAAAGCAAGTTTAGTGAACTAAAAGTTAGTAGCTGTAACAAATTGGAAGCTCGGGATAAAAATAAAATAAAATACAATTAAAAATGTTCACGTAATTTCGTAACTGTTTGCTTATTAATTTTAATTATATAAAATATACATATATTAAATTTTGTGTTATAAAAATTAAAAATAAATTATATAAAATATATTTGTACAAGTAATTTTAAAAAGTACATGTATATTTGAATATATTCTCATATAAGTTTAGAAATGATCACCATTTTAATAAAAACATTCACGCTTTAATATAAAATTATTCTTCCTTAAAAAGTTATTTAAATAAAAGTTTGTGTGTTTTATTAAAAAAATATTATAAAAAATTAATAGAAAAATAAGTATGGATAAATAAATAAGAGCCTAGTATCCCACCAGACTGCCGATCCTCAAATGAATATTATTTAATATATAAAAATAATTTCATAATTATATGAATATATTTTATAATAATACATCATTTTAATGGAAATTTGTTAATTTAACATATTTGTATGGATACTATTTATAACATACGAATATTATAACTTCATTTTATTACTGTGATTATAATTTATATGTTTTTAAAAAAATCTAAAAAAGTCTAACTTGTGAAAAATAGACCGGACTGACTGCAGCCAATTATTATATTTCATAATATAAATATGTGGATATAATTATAATTAGTAAGTGATTTTTTCTGAAATTACACGAAATTTTCTGAAATGTAGTTTATTTTATTTTTTATATATTATTTAGAAGATATGATTATAATTTACATACAGAAAGATTAATTATCCTTTATAGGCAAGATACGTTCTCGGTTCAGTGGCAAGCACCTGTTGTAGGTTTCCATAAGGTCATCAATTTGATTTCCTCTACCATAATTTTTCATAATGGATAAAATTTGTATTCACTGTTTCACTTCAAAGGCTATAAAAAATCCGTATCCATATTAGACAACAGATGGTAATGATTGGGATGGCTACGCATGCTCGCAAAATATAGAGGATCACAAAAAAAAAGGCCTCAAGCCTCGCTTGGCGCCTAGTTAGCGTCGATTTTGTATCCAGCCGTGATTAAAACCGTATTTGCATGTTCACCAGTTCAATATATGCCGTAAGTTTTAGTACTAAAGTGACCATTTTGACCAAGTTTAAGCACCGGTTGTGCACTTGGCTCTTTATTTGATTCCATGAAGGTGATCATATACGAAGTACATCGATCAACTCCTATTCACACTACAGTTATGGGAGGGAGAGAGGAACATCATGCACTCACTCCTTACAACAAATTATTTAGTTGTTTGCAACCACTGCGCGCCCCTCCAGTTCGGTGTCGGCCTCAGCATTGATCCTGACATTGAGGAAGTCGACGGTGCAATCTCCCGCTGCAAACGCATCCCAGTATCCATCGCCCAAGGTCTGGACCAGGTAGTTCTTGAACATGGCCGGGCGCTTCTCGTGAACCAGCACCCCCGGAGGCCCTATGATCCTCTCCGGCTCCGGCTGGTAGAACATCGCCAGTGACAGCCTCTCCTTGTTAGCACTCGTCACCACACGGTGCCATGGTGCCTTGAAGATTGCATTGCTGACGATCTGTGTGCATAGAAATGAGAGTCTCGGTCATGATCAATGCAAACAATTGCATATTCTTCCATTATAGAAGTTCTTAAGTAATTGTGTGTGTATATGCATACCTCCATGCCCTCACCTACGACGACCAACATGTCATTACCGAGCACGGGGACATCAACCAGTGGCCGTCCTTGAGCACATGGAGGCCGCCGACGTCCTTGTCCATGAGGATGAGTGTGATGACGGAGTTGTCGGTGTGCGGCTTCAGCCCGTTCACGAGGTCCGGCCGTGGGCAGGGAGGGTAGTAGGTGAACCTCGAGTATGACTTGAACCTCTCACCCACCATGTTGATGAAGAAGCCCTCCTCCCGGTTCAGAAGCTTTGCCATGGCCTTCAACACATTCATGGTCACTCTCCCACTCTCTAAGGTGTACTCGTGTAGGAGATCCCTGCAGATTATATATGATCTCCGATATAAATGCAATAAGAAAAAGATTTTAAATCACCGAGGGTACAATTAATGTGTAGATCGAGTGCCTTAGATTATGTGGCCAGAACTGGAGCCGCCTCTCGTCCTCCGGCTGGAGCTGGAGCCAGAGCCGGTCACACCAGTCAAGGATCTGCTCATCGGAGTCGATGCGGTCGATGCGATACCCTTCGTTCTGGAAATTGACACCGTCGATCACGTTGCCGCACTTCTGCTTCTCCTCCAGCGGCAGGTGGAAGAACTTCCTCGTCGCCTCGAGGATCTCGTTGAGGAACTCCTTTGACATGCCATGGCCAGTCACCACAAAGAGGCCCCATGACTGCAGCGCAGAGCGAAGCTTGGCCGCCTCCTCAACATCGTCGGGCATGGCCAGACGGCTCACGTCCACGATGGGGATAACCAGCTTGGCTTGCTGAGCGACAGTGGTCGGTCGGTTCTCCTCACTTAGCATGTACCCGCTCGGCGGCGCCACAAGTCCAACGTTCGCGGCCACCACCTGCACCAGCTTTCCCTGATCCTGATGAACCATCTTGACGCTAGAATAGGTCTTTTAAACCAAGTGCACATACTCTTTTGTTTTGCGGTATATATATAGGCTTCAGGTGTGCGCCTATTTCAACGTTATCTATCTTGTATTTGGAGGCCACAGGCTTATCATATCCATACTAGATATAAATCCATATCTACATTCAACAGATCTCACCCGTCCACCCATGTCAATCCAACGGCCTATGTTGCTTTGAATCTTGGCACCGAATTAATTGCCTTACGTTCTTCGTATCTAGACAAATGTAAGACAATTAATTTAGGACGAAGGAAATATTATAGAGAGATATGTAGATATAGGTATGGACGAAGAAAGAACGGAACAGAAACCTCGTGTCCTTTTCAAGTGGTATATATAGATATATAGATATAGGTATGGATATATAGATATAGATAGATAGATAGATGTAGATATAGATAGAGATAGAGAGAAAGTCAAAAAGACATGGGACGGTTGAGGTGTTTTTAGAGAAAACCCGATGGAAGAAAACCAGAGATGAGAGGGGAAATCAATAGTGGGAGGAGAGAGGGGACAACATAGGGATTTTTTGTCATTTTGGACCACCTACTATGAACAGCCTAATGGGTAGTATCATAAGTTAGTATCATGCAAGACCTTAATGCATAATATTAGTATCTTAGATGAAATTATTTATTGCCATGTAAGACACATGCTAGTGCATTATTTATTATTATACAGTATCAAGATATGATACTCAATCCTCATTTTTTTCATTTACTTCATTAAAATTGCCTAGTTAACATACGTGTACTCTCATTCCGAGCAGCCTTGTCACATACCTTTAAGACATAATCTTCCCTTTAAATCAGCTGCATCCGTATTTGAGCCCACAACCTTTCTTTTAAATATCCCATCTTTTACCGCAATCCCTCTTTCAAGCCCACAATCCATTCTTTAGTTCGAAAATCCATCTATTTATCCCGCAAAAAGATCCATCTATTTATTGATTCCTGGGGGGCGGTATATTAACCGGTGCGAGTCGGCTTCAAAGAAAAACTCGGTGCGAGCTGGTTCAAAACTTGGAGGTGGGACTAATCAACATCAAAATTTGTAGCTTAGTTGGTTGTTGTCGCTGGGAGACTCGAAAGGTCCTGAGTTTAATCCTCAAGGTAATATCATGGGTAGTCATAAAACTTACACTCGATGTTCAGTTGGGTGCTAGAACTTTGAATACGGAATGCAGTCACTCAACTTGACTCAAGTGTGCACATATGGTCACAGAATATGCATGCTGGCGTATTGGTGTGTATGGCCCCACCTGTCATTGACTGGAGGTGCTTGACCAAGAGTTTTTTTTTCATAAAACACCCTTGCAATTTTTTACCCATGGGAAAAGTCGACCACCGCGATGTATTTTTGCACAAAACCACTTCATATTTTTTTATTTGCAGGAAAGTCAAACACCGTACTAGAAAATTTAACACAAAAAATTGGCCGCACAAGGTTTCGAACGCACTACCCGGGATTACCACACTAGCAAGTGTAGCCACTACACCAACCACATTAAGATGCCTGCTAAGGATAAAAAGTCTATATGTACTGGTAAATGTCCCACCTGCTATTCTCACAACCAGAGGCTAGCACAAAAGAAACCCTGGGCACCACAACATGCACCTGTATATGTCGATAATTGATAACTAGCGAGATATGAATTTAAATTTCTTTTTTTAGCGGAGGATATGAATTACATAGGACAAAGGCGCTCATGCAGCCATTTTGCACCTGTTTGGTATTTTAGAAATTGGTAGATAGTATGTAAATTATAATTTCAGTAATAAAAATAATCTTTAAATATTTGTGTGTTATAAAAATTGTACATATAAATGAATAACCTACTTTCAAAAAACATTATATTTTATTTAAACCTTTTTCTATATTTATATTAATATTTATGAATTATAAAAATGTATGTATGATAAAAAATATTCATAATATAAAATGAAAAGTGTTGATATGAATATTAAATCATATATAATATTTAAATTATATTATTAAATCATAAATATTTAGTAAATGTATGTATTCATCATTTTGTATAGTTTAAAAATAAGACATGAGTGTATATTTTATATGGATTCATTAAACATATTTACTTAATAAACATTTTCAATGTCTGCATTAACTAAATATTTTATAGAATAGACAAGTTTATATTTAAATGTTTTACTTACTAATGATCGTTTGTATGTATAATATTTTTTAAACACAGATATTTGAACATAAATTTACGACTTAAGTTTTACAAATATCTTAAATATTTGTTTCTTATGTTTATAAAATACTGTTTTCATAATAAACAGGTTTATATTTAAAACAATATCAACTAATCATCGTATGTATGTAAAATATTTTTAACACACAAATATTTGAAAATAAAAATTGTACTTACATTTTGCAAATATCTTTAAAAATAGCGCGTGCAAAATGGGCCATATTATCTGCAGCCCATATGAACTCCACATGCTTTCTTGTCCTATATATAATGTTGTTATCCAAATCAGACATCCAAACTTGATGGTTGGAGTGGCTAGGCTCGGTAATGTTGCTAGAGTGTTTCGCTTGTTTGAGACCTTGTGCACACACATTTTAGGCATTAATTATTGCAGTATAGTGGTGTTGATACCCGATTTTGACACGACCAAGAACTTATTTAAGATGGCCTCCAATGAAGAAGTGGTCTAAATTAAGGAGTTCCGTATTGTTGATATGAACATCTTTGAAGTTTGGGCCATCACCGTCCGATTTCATCTCAAAGGCCGAAACTATGCTCAAAGTACCAAGATCTTATATTCAGAGTACAGTTTGGCCGATTAAGCCCCCAAGACGACCTCATATGAAAAAATGATCTACATGAATTATCTTCGTCTCGTTGAAACTGATCAATTTTGATATAAAAATTGTCCCAATACGAGTTCGTATGCAAAAATTAGAGGCAACACTTCGCGGACCGGTCCTAAGTGAAAAAGTAACGGGAGGGACCAGACACCCACCTAGGTGGTGTCTGATGGGTCGCGTGGGTTATTCGGTCTTTGCCGGCTGAATGAAGCTTGCCGGAATGGAGACCTTGCCGGGGTGGAGACCTTGCCGGTGTGGAAAGCTTGCAGGCGTGGAAGCTTGCCGGTGTGAAAGCTTGCCGGGGTGGAAAACTTGCTGGGGTGGAAACCTTGTCGGGGTGGAGACTGTAAAAGTCAATCCAACCAGAATTTAGAGATGGGCTCGAAAGGTTATTCAGATGGCCTCGTATGGAAAAGTGTTCTACACGGAAGTTGTACATATCGTAACTTTGCTTTTGGAGTCATCATCATCGAAGATAGTATACGTCCTGTAGAATTGTTACAAGACTCGGACAGTTCAGAAAACTGCATAATTGAATCCGACCCACATTTAAAGATAGGCCCTGAAAAACATAAAGATGGCCATAAAAGGAGAAGTGGCCTATGCTGTCTTATACAGATCGTCGAGGCGGACAAGTTTGATGTTGAACTCGACTCCATCCGAGTTAGTATGTGATTTCTATGGCCAGCGCAAGAAGCAGGACAGAAGTATAGGACAGATTCGGGATGGATCCGAGTTGGACTGAAACTGGAACTGTAGGACGTGAATTGATGTAATTTTCTTGTAAGGAAAGCCTAGATGAATCCTTTACTTGTACGGGAAGTCCAGCCGCCTCTTATATATGTTGGGGGTGACGGCCGACTGAAACAACACACAATCGAACAAATCAATCTACTACTTTCTCGTGTTCATCTACTTTTTATCTCTCCCTTGTATATTTCTTCTCGTTCTTCGCTAGTTCTTCATGCTGGAGGGCTACGGATCCACGAGGATCTAGGGGCGAGCAAATCGACTTGGAGCAGCCCATAGCCACCGCGAGCCCTGACGGGTGCTACCTCTTGAGCACCGTGTTGGTTTTCCCTTGAAGAGGAAAGGGTGATGCAGTAAAGCAGCATAAGTATTTCCCTCAGTTTTTGAGAACCAAGGTATCAATCTAGTAGGAGACCACGCGCGAGTCACCTCGTACCTACATAAACAAATAAGAACCTCGCAACCAACGCGATAAAGGGGTTGTCAATCCCTTCACGGCCACTTGCAAGAGTGAGATCTGATAGAGATGATAATAATAAGATAAATATTTTTGGTATTTTTATGATATAGATTGAAAGTAAAGATTGCAAAATAAAATAGATTGGAAACTTGTATGATGGAGAATAGACCCGGGGGTCATAGTTTCACTAGTGGCTTCTCTCAAGATAGCATAAGTATTATGATGGGTGAACAAATTACTGTCAAGCAATTGATAGAAAAGCGAATAATTATGAGAATATCTAGGCATGATCATGTATATAGGCATCACGTCCGCGACAAGTAGACCAACTCCTACCTGCATCTACTACAATTACTCCACACATCGATCGCTATCCAGCATGCATCAAGAGTATTAAGGTCATAAGAACAGAGTAACGCCTTAATCAAGATGACATGATGTAGGGGGGTAAACTCATGCAATATGATATAAACCCCATCTTTTTATCCTTGATGGCAACAATACAATACATGTGGTTTCCCTTTCTGTCACTGGGATCGAGCACCACAAGCCAAAGCTAAGCACTTCTCCCATTGCAAGAAAGATCAATCTAATAGGCCAAACCAAACTGATAATTCGAAGAGACTTGCAAAGATAAACCAATCATACATAAAAGAATTCAGAGGAGATTCAAATATTGTTTATAGATAATCTGGATCATAAACCCACAATTCATTGGATCTCAACAAACACACCGCAAAAGAAGATTACATCGAATAGATCTCCAAGAGAATCGAGGAGAACTTTGTATTGAGATCCAAAGAGAGAGAAGAAGCCATCTAGCTACTAGCTATGACCCGAAGGTCTGAAGTAAACTACTCACACATCATCGGAGGGGCCATGGAGTTGATGCAGAGGCCCTCCATGATCAATGCCC